CTGGATTGTTCAAACTTGTCATTGGAGTGGAAAAATTGGAAACGTGAGTTTTTAGTTTACATGATCGCGAAAGATAAAAATTTACAGCCGGAATCAACAAAAATAGCTACGTTTCTTTGGCTTATTGGTACAAAAGGTGCCAATATCTACAATACGTTGTTTCCAAATGACGGGTCACATTCATTGTTGGGGACATTCACAGCACAACGTATGATACCGGCTACGGACACCGAAGCTGAACATGGAGTGACTGAAATAAAGCAACGATCGTTGGAAGAGGTTTTGCAAGCATTCGACAATCATTGTCTACCACAGAAGAATGTGACAATGGAATCATACAAGTTTAACAACATGAGTCAAAAGGAGCGCCAACCGTTCAATGAGTTTTTAACGGAACTTCGTGTCCAACTTGAAAGATGTGAATACAACTGCATATGTGGAGCATCGTATGAAAATCGAATGCTGCGAGATCGCATCATTACTGGAGTTTGTGATAGGAAGCTGCAGCTGAAATTGCTTGATAGGCGCGATGAAAATCTTGAAAGAGTGGTGGAAATGTGCAAAACATTTGAATCAGTAAACGCGAATAAAGACATTTTGGCATCAAAGCAATCAATTTCAGCAGTAGCATCAATAGCAAGCAAAGAAAAGGACGAAGTAAACGCAATAAACGTAACAAATCGGCGTTTTTGTTTTAATTGTGGTGGTGACTGGAATTCGGATCACAAGAGCAAATGTCCAGCAAGAGAATTCATGTGTTCATGCGGGAAGAAAGGTCATTTTCGTCGAATGTGTCGTAAAAAGGCAAACAAATCGGAAGCAGGTAAACAGGAATCAAAACCAAATGGAAGGCAACGGGTCGATACTGTTCGCTAGGACGAATTGTCAGGTAACACAATGGAAAAACACTTTAAATTAAGATCCATACTTAGTGTTAAAAATAATATTTTTAGAGTAAACTCAGTGGGAAAACATGTAAAACGCTGGACGAAAGCCTACCTAGTAGGAAATAGGGAAGTTGAATTCAAAATTGATACGGGAGCGGACGTTAACTGCATTCCATTAAAAAATAGTTAAAGCAATGAATTTAAAAATGAGCACTGAACGAAAAGACTTGTGTGTATTTGATTACAGCAATAAACAAATCAGAATTTATGGTATTGTTAAAATTGAACTATTTGATTTAAAAGATCTCAGAGAAAAGGTAGAATTTATAGTTGTTGATGATTCATTTGAACCGATACTTGGGCTTGAGACATGCATTAGGTTAGAATTGATTAGAAGAGTGGATGTTGACTCAGTGAGGCTTCCAAATGAACAAGATAAGTTTGTAAATGAGAACAGTGATGTATTCACTGGGCTTGGGAAAATACCAGGGAAAATTACTTTATATTTGGATGAAAATGCAAAGCCGGTTGTGCATTATAGAAAGCGCTTTCCGGATTCAATAGTTAAAAAACTTAAGCCAAAACTTGATGACATGGTGAGGAGTGGAATAATTTCACCAGTTTTTCATCCTACGGATTGGGTTAATAACATCCAAGTGGTGGAAAAGTCCAACGGTGATTTGCGGATTTGTTTAGATCCAAAACCACTTAACAAGTGTCTTAGGCGCGAACATTACGCGATTCCGACAATTGAGAACTTCACGTCGGAATTGGCAAATAAGAAGATGTTCACTGTGTTAGACTGTTCAAATGGGTTTTGGCAGTTGGAGTTAGACAACAGAAGCTCTGAATTAACAACATTTATGACTCCTTTTGGTCGATACAAATTTGAAAGATTGGCATTTGGGTTAAATGTAGCTCCTGAAATTTTTCAAAGAAGAATGTTTCAAATATTTGGAGATATACCGGGAGTTTTTGTTTATTTTGATGACATAGGAATTGTAGCCACAGACGAAGTGGAACATGATAAAATATTGGCAACTGTTCTTGAGCGAGCACGCGTAAACAACGTTAAATTTAACCCGGAAAAAACTCAATATCGTAAGTCGGAAGTCAAATTCATGGGGCATATTTTGTTAAACGGTCATATTAAACCGGAGCGAAAACACATTGAAGCAATATTAAATATGAAAAGGCCAACTGATAAACATAGTGTCATGCGTTTGCTGGGATTGTTGAAATATTTGGGAAAATTTATCCCAACCCTGTCCAAACTTACAGCCAGCTTGAGAAAATTAACTGAGAAAGATACCCCCTTTGAATGGACCGAAAAGCAAGAGGCGGAATTCAATAATTTATTGAAACTTGTTACATCAAACCGGGTTTTGAGGACTTTTGAGTCGGAAAAACCAGTTGTCATTCAGGCTGATGCGGCTAAAGATGGGCTGGGAGCGGGTTTGCTTCAAGAGGGTCATCCGGTCGCGTTTGCATCCCGAACCTTAACCAAAAGTGAACAGAAATGGGCGCAAATTGAAAAGGAGCTTTTGGCTGTGGTTTTTGCCTGCAAACGTTTTCATAGTTTCATTTATGGACGACCATTCGTGGTTGAGAGTGATCACAAACCACTGGAAGTATTGAACCTGCGTGATATTGATGCTGTCACACCGAGATTACAACGAATGTTCATGATGTTACTAAAATACCCACAGATGAAAATTGTTTATAAAACAGGTAAGGAAATGTTGCTAGCTGACTGCTTATCCCGTGCATCATTGGACATGGGCTCGGAAGAATCGGAGCTGAGTACCGTTATTCACTCAGTAACAAAATCAGTGTGTGTTTCAAAGGAAAACCATGACTATTACAAACAAATATTAGAATCAGATGAAAATCTCAAACGAGTGTGTGAATATGTGAGAAAGGGTTGGCCAGCGTATCGACATCTAAATGACTTTTGCCGGATTTACAATAAAATTAAATCAGAATTGCATTTTGAAAACGGGCTATTGTTCAAGAACCATCGACTGGTTATTCCAACAAAAATGCAAGAAAAAATGGCAAAGTGGTTGCATGCGCCACATTTTGGAATTGAGAAAACACTGGCAAGAGCAAGAATGCTTTATTTTTGGCCAGGAATGAGCACACAGTTAAAGGAATTGATTGCGTCATGCAACATTTGTGAACAGTTCAAACGGAATAATCAAAAAGAACCATTGACCCAAGAGTCTAATCCAAGATACCCATAACATATTGCTGCAGCGGATTTATTTGAATATGCTGGTCGTGACTACATCGCGATTTATGATTATTACTCTAATTATTTGGTTGCAACAAGAGTTAACAATAAAACGTCCGGACATATTATTAATGCTTTTTGCTCAATTTTCAACTTAATCGGGTATCCTACGAACATCAAGAGTGATAATGTCCCTTTTAACTCTGCGGAGTTTGAAAAGTTTTCGCGTGAATTCAATATTCAGTTTAGATATTCGAGTCCAAGATACCCTCAGAGTAATGGAATGGCTGAGAAAGGAGTCGCGATCGCCAAAAATATTCTAAAACGTTGCTATGAGACCAATGAAGTCGATAAATTTCAGTATAGAATCATGGAATACAATACTACGCCTGTTGCAAGTATGAGTCTCACTCCATCAGAGTTGTTCTTTGGTAGACTAATTAAAACGAAATTGCCAGTATCGGAAAAGATGCTCATCAGAAACAACGTGAAAGAAGAGATCATTCAAAATAAAATTAATAGGAAAAAAGAAAAGCAGAAGTATTACTATGATCGAAACGCAAAGTCGCTGCCAAAATTGAGTACGGGTGACTTAGTAATTTTTAAAAAGAATGGAAAGGAATGGCATTACGGAAAAATTACTGGGACAGTTAACGACCGCTCATATATCATCAAGGATTCATTTGATAATTATTTTAGGCGTAATCGCAGATTCATTGCTAAAACAAATAATGACGATTTTAATGCTAGTGATTTCGTTCTTGAAGAAAATATTAAAGTGGGTTGCAGGAATAATCTGCCAGAGATTCAAATCGTACCAGATAAGAGATTAGTATATAACCAGAGCAATAATTATAATAATCCGAATTGTATTGTTAACCAAAATAATAATTATACCAATCAGAATTATAATAATAACCACACAGCCACTACAAACCCCATAAATACTGTAATTGCGGATGAACCTAAACTTTCAGTGGAGCATGAGAATGAAGGCCATCGTAACTCACCATCGAATTATGAAACTGTTGAAAGTGATGAGTCAGAGGCAAACATGGGTAGTGAGTCTGGGGCAATCCCTGAATCAGAAGTTAGAGGCCATTATAGAACACGCTCTGGTCGTTCTGTAAGACCACCGCAAAAGTATGGCTGGTAATCCAAGTAACAGTTAAGAGTGGTTGCCTGTTAAAACTACAAGTAAGCATATGTAAGAAAAAAAAAAAAAAAAAAAAAA